TTCTTGACATCAGGAACTTGATTTGGGCATATAAAAATTAAATATTAAATATCAACTAGTAAAAATTCAGTTCAAAATTACAGTGCATTTTTACTAGTAAATATGTTATTTTCACATGTAAAAACCCACTTTCCATACAGAGGAGGGAAATCACAGGAAGAAAAGGCTGTTTTAAGTAGAGAACCAGTTAAATCTGTTGATCTGAAATCCTACTTGAGCAAGTGTTTTTCTCTTCTGGTCTCCTACAAATGTAGTTATAACTAAAGTTTGGAGGGGAGGAAATGCCTGAAACTCCAACTTCTTCCAAGTTAACGCCCTATAAATTCACATCCTCACCTTCTGTTCCTGTGACAAAGTGTTATCAGTCCTCAGCACCACCCTATCTCCTCTGCATTCCTCAGTTCTACATCAGTCCTACCACAGCTATGGAGGGGTTGGCCTTCTAGCTACTGGCAGAAGCTTCCCAGAACTCCAGCCCAATTTATCAGAGCCAATCAGTCTTCACTCATACTACCACCACGTGTTGAAGGCATGGTCAGAACTCACAAACAGCAGTTAGAAGGCTTTCCATGCTGCTCCATCCAAACAGATCAAACTGTGGCCTTTAAATATATTGGTTAATCAGCTGAGCATGTGTATGTGCAATGTGTGGATGTGGGACCAAACATGTTCAGAAATATCATTTAATCCACATCAGCATCTTACCAGGAAAATTACTGGCAAAGTGGTTCAGGCAATATCTTTTGTGGGACTATGTCATGTTATGAATCGATACTGGCATATTTAAATGAGGTAATAGCATGGCCATGCTTTACATTGCACATGTGGAAAAAAAATCATGCAAATCTGCCACTGCATTTTATGAATCTGGCCAATTACTTATGGACTGCACTGTATGTCTTGATTATCAATGCAGGATGATCACAGCGTGTCCATATTGTGTATGTAGTCCAAATCTTTCCTTTGCATAACACTAACTTGCCCCCTCTAGAATTCAGTTATTATTAGCAGTCTTTGGGTTTGTGGATGAAACTGTCCTTTAAGCTGTGCAGCTTCATCAACACTAAGCATATGTTGTCTCTGCACAGCCTGCAGGGTTTACAATAGCTTGTTATCGCTTTCCTTCCAGATGCTTCATGTACAGTGTAGAGGCACTGGGGCAGATGGGAATCTTTCATCAGCATTGACTGGAAAGGAGAGGCAGGATGAGAACTTGTTTTCTTGCCTTCCACGGCATAGCTGAAATCCAGGTATTCATACAGCACACTGTTTGCGATAAGACGGCTAAGCTGTGGAAACAGAGGCACAGCTCCAGCTGCAGAATTCTGGAGCTAAGATTTTGATAACATAGGATGATGTTTCCATTAGTGCAGATTTCTGGAAGTGATTTGCCATCTTGCTGGTGGAGCTTTAAGCAAAGATGCTGTCTTTGCTGACATTCAGGCTGATTTAGACCTTTACTCCATCCTCCAGTCTCTGTACCGTCTGCTAAATAAGGAGGAATGAAAGAAGCTTGTAGCGGCGGAGAGAGAGACATGAGAGAGACAGAGAATGTGTGGGGGATAAAAAGAGAGAGAGAGGAGAGAGAAATAGAGAGAGAAAGTGAGATAAAAAGAGACAAGGAGAAAAAGAGGGAGAGAGAGAAAGAGAGACAAGGTAGGGAGAGATGGAGAGAGAAGATAGAGATGGGGAAAAAGAGAGATAGTGAGAAAACAAAGAAGGAGATAGAGACAGCGTGAGAGAGAGAGGAGAAAGAGAGACAGGGAAGAGAGAGAAAGAAAAAAAGACAGTGGGAGGGAGAGAGATGGGATTAAAAGAGAGAAATGGTGTAAAGGGAGATAGAAAGAGATGGTACAGAGATAGATAGAAAGAGAAAGAGAGAGAGAAAGAGAGATGGGGAAAAGACAGAACGAGATGAGGAAAAAGAGAAAGATGGTGTAAAGAGAAATAAATGAGACAATGAGAAAAATAAATAGAGATGGCAAGAAAGAGAGAGAGGGATGGGAAAAAGAGGGAGAGAGACAGGTTACAGAGAGATAGAAAGAGAAAGACAAAGACAGAGACAAAGAGAAAGAGTGATAGATGGGGTAGAGAGAGATAGAAAGAGAGAAAGATGGGGATAAAGAAAGAAAGAGAGGAGATGGAGAGAAAGGAAGTATAGAGGAGGACAAGGAGAAGGAGAAATAGAGAGAAACAGGGTAGAGATAGAGAAATAGAAAGAGACACAGGGAGGAAGAGAGAGTGAGAAGGGGAGAAAGGAATGGAGACAGGGTAGAGAGAAATAGCGTGAGGAAAGGGTAAGAGAGAAAGAGAGAGAGAGAGAGAGAGAGAGAGAGAGAGAGAGAGAGAGAGAGAGAGAGAGAGAGAGAGAGATGCTTCCTGAAGTGTGTGCAGTGTGGCAGCTCAGGGGAGCAGATTAATTAGCCGGTCTGTGCTGAAAGGTCTTCCATATCTGGATGGGCTCTGACAGCACCGCGGGCTTCCGGATCAATCCGTCATGATCTCCTGCCTGCTTGGGAATGAGATGGGATCGCTTGGGGAGTCTGACTGTGTGTGTGTGTGTGTGTGTATGTGTGTGTGTGTGTGTGCATTTGTGTGTGTGTGTCAAACACTGACTTTAACTTGAGCTGCTGTAGATTTAGCAAGGGACATATTTCACCTTCTGAGAAAGAGATAGAGAGAGAGTGAGAGAGAGAGTGAGAAAGAGTCAAAGGCAGAAAGGAGAGTGACGAGAGTGACATTCTCTGCAGCACTTCAGTTCAACAGCAGAAACTCATCATCTACAGTACAGCTTCCATAGCAGTCAGTATACATTTACAGTAGCTTTCTGAGCACATAGCTAAAGTATGGAAATCTGTGTATTCAAGGCACATGCTGATGTTGGTGTTATGAATAATTAAAGGCCAATTTATGAGCTTCCTCACTGAGCTATTTTTTTTTTTATTATGCTACTTATTAACTTAGCAACTGATAGTATTTTCAACAGATGTCATATGTCAACAGTGTCTGCTCTTGTGAATAGTACTGATAATGATATTATATACTTTTTACACTCATTTTTTTTTTTTTATTTTATGCACTGGGCTCTGTACTGTGTTCTGTGCACATTATCTGCACTCTGAGGACCAAAGATGATTACAATTAACAGTGAGCACTGAACAAAGCTGAAGTTGGTTTCTTATTCATCAACTTCTGATTTAAATTTTCTGTTCAAATAAGAAGCTGGCTAACAAGCAGCCAATTTCAGCCTCATGTACAGTAATAAATAGTCTTTACTACTGAAGACCAACTGGTGTCTTCACTTCATTCACTCATCTTACTGTCCACTGTTCTGTTTTTACTGTCAACTGTCCTGCACTTAATGTTTATTTTATTAGTTTAGTACTGGACAGCTTAGTTTATTAGTGTTTTGTATAATCGATTGCAGGGTTCCCAACCCAGGCCTCAGTGTTCCCTAGATGGTTCACATTTTTCCTTCATTCCTGACGTGGTTGGGTTGGATTGTATGTATTTATTGTTTTTAATGACTTTTGCATTGTGTTGCTCCTTTTGTACTGCTTCCCTCTGAGTGAAATGTAGCAACATCCTGGAGGAACTATATTTCGTTCCACACTCAACACATGGCTGTGGTGAGAAGGAATGACAGCAAAGTTGAATTTGAATGCCTTAAAGGTCACAGAGGGAAAGCAGCAAGATTTCCTTGTATCTACACTCTGTAGACTGTAGTCCAGCAGCGTCCTGTGACCACTGACGAAGGACTAGAGGATGATGAACACAAATTGTGCAGCAACAGATGAGTTATTGTCTCTGACTTTACATCTACAACAACAAGGTAAGTATGTCTGATAGAGTGGACAGTAAGTGTAAACCACTCGTACCAGTGTAACACACTAACACAGTGTCACTGCAGTTCTGAGAATGATCCGCCACCCAAATAATACCTGCTCTGTGGGGGTCCTGACCATTGAAGAACAGGCATACTTAACAAAGTGTTTGGTCAGTGTATGTTAAAGTATTCTTTAACCATTTCCAAACCTCTCTTTGAGGAAGCCCAGTATTAATTGTGGTCCTCATGCTACACCTATGATATGGCTATGTAAAACTTTATTATGCTAAATCAAGCATGCTGGTGATGGAATTACCAGGGACATTTAAGAGAATCTGAAACCAAACTTTGTTCTTCAAACTTATATAACTTATATCATCTACTCTTCTGAAAATAAATTCTTGTTACCTTTACTGTATTTATGCTTATTTGCATCTATTCCAATGATAAATGGTGTGTTTACAAACAAAACACAGTTATTGGCAAGATAACTTGTTTCAAACAATGCACTTAGGTGCCTAAGACCTTTTGCACAATACTGTACATAAATAAGTGCTCATCAAGGACAACATATAAAGAGTTTTAGACATGACACTGGGGATTGCAGCAGGTTTTGATTCTACCACAGACTGCAGCTGGTGCTGTTTTCGTGTCTGAGACAGAGTATGATGGTCACTAATTTGTGTTTTTAATGTTCTTTTCAAACTAAAATGTGCTCTTTGAAGTACTCTGATTTTTCTGGTTCCCTCAGATAGCAAAACATAAAAATGTTACAAGGAGTGCAGATGAAAGAAAGCACGCCTGTTAGCTCAGAGCTCTTTATTTTGACAATTCAGACCAGGGTCAACGCATCTTTTCACAAATTTAATGGTGAATGCAGGTATTTTGACTGATAAAAGCTTTGAGAGTGAGATATGACAGCTCACCGAGAGGAAATGACATTAGAAGATTTTCATTAAGCACAGGTGCTTAGTGCAGGTTTTTGGTGTTACTTAAAGGAACATTCCAGGATTTTTTAACCTAATCTCTTTCTGCTGCATTTGTACAGTTGATTGCCACGGACAGTAATTTCAATGCCTTTCTCTCCAGGTAGAAAAGAACAGAGAACGTGGACTTGAAACACATTTTTAATAGAAGCCAATGGGCAGTTGGTTTAAAGAAATACTCCAGCATTTTTTCTCTATCTGCTGCATCTGTACCATATTATCGATTGCCATAGATGCGTCTCCCTGTAGATTATAACTGAACAGAAAACATTTTGTCTTGAAACATGTTTATTATTGAACTCAATGGGAGAATTGAAAATGATTGTATGTGTTAAATTATGATATGATACTGATGCTGCTGCAGCAGAGATTAGGTTGAAAAATGCTGGAGTATTCCTTTAACTCTTTAAAGTATATAAGTTTTGGTAAATTATGTTTGGTCCATTAAAGGGCCTACTGCCTGAATTTTTCTTGAACTTTATTTTTTCCCTGAGGTCCACTTATGACATTTGTGTGGTTTTATGTACAAAAAATAGTTGTTAATTCATTTTCACATGATCATTTTCCAATCTGTTTTTATCACCTAGAATTAAACAAGCTGTTTTTATTACTGTACTTTGAAGACTGGTATACATAAATGATCTCTTTTCTGGTTAGCTGTCCTGTATTATGTCTTAATTAAAAAGCAGCCCAGGCTGAAACACTCCTTATAACTTCACTGTGACTGGCTGGAGCTAAACTGCTGTAAGCTGAATAAGTGGAAATGCTTTGTTTTATATTTCATTTACAAAAAACAATTCCATTCCAAATTCCAAATGGGCTGTTTTTGCACCTTAGTTTCCATACATGGACTGTATGGACTGAGGAGCTAATGGGACATTTTGAAACTTTAGTGTTTACATATTACATTAAATGCTTTTAATTATGAAAAAGCTGGGTTTTACACAATATGAGCCCTTTAACATTCCAACACATTCACCCACTGTCCTCGACAGACACCCCTTCTAAGCAGCTGCATCCATTGACTGCCCTCTCCACATGGCTAGCCATGCGTTCCTGCCCGTATCAAACAGTCAAGGTGCCATGTCCTGCTCCCCTGCTCAAAGGCACAGCCTGACCTGCCGCTTAACAATTCTATGACTAATGTTCCTGGAGCCCAGCATATGGTGCCCTGCCCCACAAGAGCATGTCGGACCCCATCACAAAGATGCAGAACACTATTTTACACACCATGGCCTTGTTCAAGAGAGAGTTTGTTAATGCTGATTTGTTTTGAAGCACCTCATCATTAGCTGACTTGTTTTGAAATCCACCATGTCTTGAGGTTTGTGGGCTAACACTGCCCTCTTGTGGTAGGAGACGTTTGTTTTCCTTTTATTTTGTTTGTTTGTTAAGCTTGGCATTTTCAGAAGGCAAAAAACTGTGCATTTTTAGCCTATTATTTTATTTTTTTCAGTGCGGTCAAGGCATATAAGGTAACAATAAAAACACAGGTCTACAAGATTTTCTAATTATCCAAATATACTCCAATAAATAGCTTATTTCATCAGACAGCTGTACAATGCAGGAACACACAGGAAAGCTAAATAACTGAATTAAAACAAACAATCTAAAAAACAAAAACTATAAAGCTATTTCCCCAAAAGGGAATAACGTCAGACTTTGGATTCAGCGATGAATTCAACTCAGAAGGCAAAGAGAAAAACACAGTCCAAGTATTATAGTACAAAAATAGCGTGTGTAAAAAGGAATAAGTTCTTGTGGAGAGCGCATGCGCACTGCCGGACTTCCCCGCAGTCTCACTGAATGAGCGCTTGCCGGCTCGGCTCGGTCCGTTTAAAGAGTGAGAGCAGAAAAAGACTTCTACTTCCCGTAAAACATGTCGAGCAGCAGTTCCTCCATGTTCACGGTGCCGATGACAGGGGTGAAGAAAAGCCCCGCCACCACGTTAGCGTTGATGGAGCGCAGCATGGAGAGCGCGATGAAGAGCTTAGCGAACCTCGCCGTGTCTCCTCCGTGGATCATCTTGACGTATTCATTCAGCGCCTGGTGCGCCTCGCTCTGCAGCCCCTGAATGTATCGGTGGCACTGCAGACCCGCCACGTCTGAGAACGACACACACACACGCACGCCGAGGTACGTTAGGACATTGTCTGAGTGCTATAGACACACTTTAGTTTACACAGGTCTGCTTGTGCAAACTGACACGAAACTCACACCTGTGAAATCGCAAAGAGTAAAACGATTGTCTAGACTGAATGAATAACAAGTAGTGTATACATATATATATATATATATATATATATATATATATATATATATATATATAGTATAATATAATAGTAATCATGATTGCTCTTACTCTTAAGAAACAAACCAGTTCCTTTGTAACGTCAACAATCAGCAAAACTAATAATAAACGAAACGCTATTTTTACTTTTATTATAATTGTTATTAATTTTTGTTTTCTTGCAGTTATTCGTTTTGTGCTGTTCTAATTATTCTTATTATTATTTATGGTGGTGGGCGTCGTCATCCTCATCTCAAGTGTAAACACATTTCCAGCTGTTTTTAAAGAGCGCTGAGTATAATAAACTTTTGCTCACCTGGGTTAAACAGGATGGCCCCTTTTAAGTAAGCGTACTCCTTGGTGCTGATGTCCAGTCCCCAGCACTTGCTGAGAAACATTTTAATGGCCTGAACGTCCACGAGCGCCACGCCGGCGTGTCCGCGGGCGCGCGCGCTCTCCTGCTCGCCCTGCTGGCCGCTGGTGAGGATGCGCTGCAGCATGCTGGGCTCCGCCGTCTCTGCCGTTTCGAAGTCGATCCTGTCCTGCGCCATGCCGAGCACGAGCAGCGGCGCCCAGCTGCTGCGCACCAGCGCGTGCTGATCGTCGATGGGCAGCTCGCGGAAGCACGGCACGTTCTTCACGAACTTCAGCGTTTTGACGAGCACGGCGGACGCGGCTTTGCACGTGGTGTGCGGCGAGCGCAGAGCCACCTGCTTCTTGGCGCCGCACGCGCACGCGTGCATGGACACGGCCAGGCGCGGGTTGCGGGGCGCGTGCAGCGCGGCCTGGCCGTCGCTCTTCAGGATGCTGTAGAGGATGCTGCTGTGCGGTCTCTGCCCGCCGCAGTGGCAGCTGTCGGAGTGAGCCATGCTGGCAGCGCCGCGCGCGCTCTCGGAGTCTCGCTGCTGGTCAAACGCTGCTCGCTCCCCCTGAACACTTCCATGCACGTCGGCGGGTTGGGTTCCTTGCGTCCAAACGGCAAGTAGTTAGAGTTTTTAAACAGGGCTCGACACCTCCTACTTCTTCTCTGACGCACACCATAGGGGGGAGCCAGTCCCCCTCTCATATATATGAATGTGTTGAGCAAGTCAACAAATTTTATATATATATATATAACTCATATAGTGCAATGCTTGAAATGTAGACTGATGAACCAAGTGAACCAAAAAATAGACTGATAGTTTATTTACAATTTAATGTATTTTGGGAACAACAAGTAGTTACGTCATGGTCAAAAATAACAACTGCTACAAAATAATAAACTATAATTTTCCGTTTAAAGTAAATTCTTGCCATTCGAAATTACTATGAATAGCTAAATGATCAGCAAGATTTGGTCATGAGGCATTCTGGGGTCCATATGATGCTATACAGCTTTTTCAGTTATTATGGGATCATCTACAGCTGATTATAATCAAATATTTCTTCAGTTTTCCAGATTCTGCAACAAAATTAGTTCCATATTACTTAAGACATTAATTTCAAACTATTGAACTGTAGTGTACAAAATATATCTCTCCCCCACCCCCCACACACACAGTTCTCAGTTTTAGGTCCAAAGTCTAATCAAGTATTGTTATTTCATCAGTATTGTTCTTTCTGTAGAAAATAACAGAACAAAGCCACTCCGCATCCAGTAAAAGGCATTTCTGGCTGGAGAGTGAACCCAGGAGGCACACTCTTCTCACATCGACAATGATACTTTTATTCTCCACCTCATTTCAAAGACATCAAGCCTCATGTTTACACAAGGCCCTCTTAAAAGGAGCAGAGAGCCGAAGAAAGTATAAAAAGAAAGAAACACATGCATTTCCTTGTCCTTGATTTCCAGCCTTCTTTAACACAGCTTTCCTTTGTGGCAGACGCGGCAGAAATCGCAGGGTTCTGAACTCATTATCTCGGCTTTGTGGTTAACTGTGCATGTGTTCTCTCAGCCTGGGCCTCCTTTATGTCTGGCTGAATTCATGGCTCTGCCTCTCGGGTGGCAGTTTGGGAGGCTGAATATGTTCGCATTGAAATAAAGCCAACGAGGCCCTTCAGAGGGCGTCTACCTGCGAGCAAGGTGTCTGTCTAGACCAGATGAAGATCAGGCCAAGTGCTCTGGCTGTCTCATTATATTATGGTTGAAAATGACATGGTCCTGGTGCGGTTCCAGGGGTGACTGATTATTGGCCATTTATGTGACTTATGTTATCAATTCTAGGGAGTAAAACTATTCTAAAGGCAGGCTTTTGCTTCTGTGTGAACACTCTTTTTATTCAGCTTTGCGTACTGTAACAGAATCCTATTAAAACCATTTCCCCTTGGCTTCAGTACCAGGACTGGGCAGATTTACATGCGTGTGTGTCATTGCCTTCATTGTCAGTAACTAAAAACATTAAATTATCAAGGAAACTTTCAAGCCCAGGGTCATCCTTATTGTGCACATATGTAAGAGACAGACAGCGTCATATTAAGGTAGTGCTCTTGGATCTGAATGGTCGAAGGACAAGTCTGCAGTGTAGGGGATGAAAGCAGTCACAGAGGATTAGAATATTGTGAGATAAATGCGAACTCGCACAATTGATTTATTTGAAAAAGATTTTTTTCCCTCTTTTTTTCACCATTTATATCAAGGCCAATGTCAAGTAAACAACCTTCACAGCCTTCTCTACCCCCCCCTTCCAAACACATACACACACACACACACACACACACATGCACACACACTGTTTTGTATCCAACTGAGCTTCTGTTCAAGGTCTCAGAGTCTGACAGGCAAGTTTCTCTGTGAAATTACAATTTTGCCTTAGATTATAGCTCTCAGTAGCGTTGCATGAAACGGTGCACATTCTTTTCTAGGTCATGTTCTCTTTGGTGACATGAAAAGTTGGCCTTGAAGGCCAAGGCTTACGTCTTCCTCCTCCTGCTCCTGCACTTTCACAAAAGTAGGGGGGCTTGTTCTTCAGTAGCTTCACCAGGCCAGATGTGCTTAAATATAAAAGTTCCTAAATGGTTCTTAACTTGGACATGCATTCAGGGTGGAGCCAAAAGGTGTCTAGCGGTGGCCAGTGCCACTATAGCGTGGAGCTTGGCCACTACTCTGGCCACACCAGTTAAACAAAATGAGACAGTCAGCCTGCCCCCTTTTCTCTCAAAATGAATAGCTAAGTAGTAAGTAGTATGTAAAAAAATAGTGCACCACCATGAGAAGCATATAAATTAGTGTAGTGTGTAAAGCATAAAAGTTTGTGGGAAACAGCGTCAGAAGAAATATATTAATAAAAAGAGAAAACAATTACACGACAGAGTTTCATGGCATTTTCAGTGCAATGAAATCAACTTCTCCTCTGGATGTGTTGCCACCTTGCAATTTCCGCCATGTCTGCCACAACCTTTACTGAAAAAGAACCATTAGAAGCTATTAGGATTAAAACCTAATGTTTTTTTTGCTAATGACACTTGGCTTAATAGTTTCCAATAGAACACGTTTAGATCCTATTAGGAAACCATCAAGTGCATTTAGAATCAGCCATTAGATACATGCAAACCATTAGGACTCATTAAAAAACCAAAACACATTACAAAACCATCAGGAGCCAACACAAACAGTTAATGGTTTTTCAGCAGGGAAGGAAAGCTGTGTTAAAGAAATCTGGAAATCAAGGACATAGTCTTTTTGTACTAGTGATGGAAAGTTTGATTCATTTTACTGAACCGGTTCTTTTGAACTGTTTGTTTTAATGATCAAATGTCTATTGCCACTGACTCATTCAATAATTCTTGTATTGGCTTTGCTTAATAAAATGCCTACATTTACAAAACAACAAATGTCTCACATACCCAAAATCCTGAAGCTGAGATGTTGAGAAAATGTATTATCTAGATTTCAATATCTTAATTTCAGTCTTAGAAATAAAGTTCTTATGTGTATTTTGGCTTGGAAACATGGTTCTAGGAAAACATTTCATTGGTCCAGAGTCTTTATATTATGTAGAAGTTCCTGAATTAATGCTTGAGCTTTAAATGTCTGTGTTTAAGCCAAAGCTTAATTTAAATGCTAATGCCAATGTGATAGCTTAGTGCTAACATAATATAGGCCTGGATGCACTTATAAAGCGCATTTAAAAAGTTTCTTTCTGCATCAGAGGCCTAGCTACAGGCCCTCTCACTTGGAAGCCAGGCTCCCTCAGATTCCTGACTGCCCAAAAGCAAAAAGTCCCCATCATCTGATGTCAATGAAAATTAGTTATTATATTATGATATTAAGATGTATTAAGATGAACGCCAAGGCGCTGGTCCCTTTATGTTCACCATAAACAAATAAAAACAAAACTCTCATTTGATAATCTTCATTTTTTTCACCATCATCATTAAGGCAACTTTCACTGTCAGTCATGTAGATTCACAGTTTTGAACCCACCATTCACCTTACCCATTTGCATTCAGTGCTGTAAAAGGTAGACTACCCAGCCTTTAAGTGTGGTATGCTGTCAGCTGTTGCAGTTACTAGTTAAATGTGAGGTCAGAAACCCTATGTTGTGTTTTCTGTACAGTGAATGTGCTCACCAGAGGGCTTGATTTGAGAAGGGGAAAGTGATTTTGAGGGGGAAATTAATTGGATGAGACACGAAGAGAGCATCTGTACCCCCCAAAAAAGGGAGATAGCATGCCAGTGTATTTTCATCCAGCTCGTCAGATTTTGGAGATATATGTTTACAGTTTACAACACGAGGCTGAAGTTTACTTTTTACTCGCCAGCTTCTTGTTCAAATTTTCCTGTTCCACCTTAAATGGCACAGCAGGTGTTATAAAAACTGCTGCACCATTTAAGGTGGAACGGGAAAATTTAAATAGTAAGCTGGCAAACTAGAAGCTGACTTCAGCTTTGTGTTAACAATATAGTTTAAATGCATAACATTCGATTAGCTGGCTAACAAACAGAAATCGGATCACATCAACCCGACCTTGAATGTGAAGAAGGAGATTCTGATCAAGAACCTGGACCTCAACCTAAAAATTGCAGCCTTGCATCAACTTCTCAGTGGCACTGTTTATGGCCAGATTTCTGTTTGTTAGCTAGCTAATTGAAGGTTTCGTTTTACCATAGTTAACACGAAGCTGAAGTCAGCTTATAACTCTTCTAACGCTTCTTGTTTGAATTTTCCCCTTCCACCTTAAATGGTACAGCAGTTATATTCTGCCTGTGCCTGCCCACCCATGTTTCGATAGACCACTGTATTTGTGTCGTCATTTTTTAGTCGGAGCCATGCTCTTATGCCCATATTAAGAACTCTGGGTCTAAGCTTCATTTCTCTTTGGCCGGAATGAATAGCATTTTTGAAAAATCGCCTCTATCGCACCCTGTGGTACATTAAAACGTTCAGAACTGGATATATTTTGCCCTATGAACAAAAAAATACTGTGCAGGGCCTTTAAATAATGCATCAGTTACATTTTTGCAACCGTACAGACAAACTTTAGCTTCGTTGGTTATCATAGTCACTTCAAACAAAGTAATCCAATATCCTACATCGATTCAAAGTACAACACTGCCAGAAAATAAAAGTTTAAAAAAGAAAAAAAAAAAAGTCAGTGGCTGAGGGATTATTTACATTGCCATGGTCTGATTACACACACTTGCACACAGTCCTGATCAGGTAGGGAAGTGAAGTTTTATACCTTTTAGCTCTATTTGAATATTTTTCAGATGTGACTTTGGTTAATCATCTAGTCAAGTATCTTTAGGATCATTGAGATTTACAGTTAAGTTACTGATACTATTACTAAAAAAATCCTGATTCCAGAAGTGGGCCAGCGTCACCAATTCTACACCAGTGAAGGTTTTGTCTTAGAACCATACAGACCTATGCAAAGCTTTGAACACACCCGGTCAAGTTATGGCATTTTTCTGCAAATTTTAGTGTACAATTTCTATCTATTTGCTAAGTTTAACATATTGGAAACATTAAAGCATAAAATTTA